AATCTGCACAGCTGTCACTAACATGTGCCGCGTCAGTGATCAAGAGCGGAGATCACTCTTCTCAGCGCTCTCATCTCAATGAGAAAAGTGATCACCGCGGCCGTTCTTAGGGGAATCTGCTCAGTCCCCCTTCCAGTGTTCCTCCCAACAAAGGGGAAGTTGGGGACTGGACCTCAGTGGGCCCCCTAACCGCCTTGGGCCCCGGGGCAGCCGCACTGGCTACACTGCCGGTAGCTCCACCCCTGCTTGTAATAGTAGTGATCTCTAGAAGTTTCGTGTATTGTGTTCCCATTCTATGACTATCTCCTGGAGCATATCCCCAGTCACTAACAACAACTACAGCATGTTTGCAGTCCCTAACCATCTCCTGCAGCATAGCTACACTTTACGACCTTCTCCTGTATCATGCTTGCAGTCTTTGAGCATTCCTGTTGCATGTATCAGCAGTCTCTGAAAGGTCCATGTAGCATTATATTAGCTGATAATTATGTGTTGCCCTTTGATGATGTCAAGGGTCGCACTTGAGACCCCCTATATCAGGAGAGCCGACTACCACCGGTATATACTGTACCTGACAGTTTTAAAGTTTTTTTTTAAACTTAATGCAACCTACATTTGAGCACGTTAAGGCCTGATTCACACCTAGGCGACAGCGTTTTTGTGCGTTTTTACGCACATATATTAAGTCATGCGTTTTTATTGAGCAAATTGTGACACATTAATGTAAATGGCAAAAACATGCAAAACCAATTGCAAAGCGCGTTTCCAAGCATTTCCTATTGACTCTATAGGGACGAAGCGAGCTGTAAACTGCCAAAAAGCAGCCCATGCACTTTTTCCAGCGACAGGTGTTGCTTATTGCGACAAAACGCTCAGGCGTGAACAGAGGCCTTAAGAATGAATGGGGTTTTTTTTGGGGGAAGCTTTGTCGCGCTGAATCAGCTGCGACAATACAAATGGAACAGACCTTAGTCTGGTCTATCTGTAAAAAATATAAGTCAATTGGACTTATTTGGAGCTGGTTGGATGACCAGTGGTTTGAAGACCAGTGATTTCTTGGGTGGAGCATTTTGTCACGCTGAATCAGCTACGACAATACATACAGTTTGAACCAGGCCTTAATGCACGGCAACAGATAACCGCAGTATAAATGGTACTTAACGGTTTACAAGCACCTGGCAGGCTGCCAAGATTATGTTCACGTGTTTTTCAGGTGCTTTTATTAAAGTCTATGGTGCATAAAGGTTAAGATTTAGTGACTGGAATCAAATCTGGTCTACTTATAAAAATTGCTATTTTAATGTGGCAGCTCTCAAAACCAATTTCAAAGTGATCTCTTGCTGGTATCTGGTGCTATCCAGAATTGCTAAATTTGTGCCTGACTATTCCTTTTTCTGCTTTTGGGGTTGCACTGAGAGAAGCACTTTCTTCCACATATGGTGGACATGCCCTGTGGCAAAATCATTTTGGAAACAGGTCTTTCAGATGTTATCTTCCCTATTGAACCGTAAGCGACTTGCGGGCCCGGCCTATGCCCTACTTAAAGGAGAACTATGGGGTTAGGACTTTTCCCCATCGTTCTCCTAAGGGTAACGGGAGGACACAAACTAGCGTCCTCCCGTCACCCAAAGCCGGAACGGATCCCGACATCGATGTCGAGATCCGCCAAGCTGCGTGAGTGATAGCTGGCTCTGCTTATCTAGAGGCAGAGCCAGCTGTACCCGCCCCCTCCCCGTCCGTTCCCGCCAGTCAGCGCTCGAGGATCAGACAGGGAAGGGGGGGAATCCAGTCCCTCCCGTCACGGCTCTCTGCCGCCACAGGATCGAGAAGTGAGCGAGCGCCGGTATGTGTTTGCTCACTTCCCGATCTACTGAGCCGACCTGTGACAGTTTCATTGTCACAGGTCGGCTCATATTATGAGGCTGAGTGAAAATCACTCACCTTATAATTCTCCTTTAATAAACGTCTGGATAGTATCACTAAATTTTGCTTGCAACTGAAAATTCTTACTGCTGCTAAACAAATCATAGCCAAAGCATGGAAAACCTCTACCCTGAATTTGGTTGAACTTAAATATAGAGTCACACAATTTAAGGCTACTATCATGGATAAAACACTTTGATATACAAGTGTATGGCAGCCCTGAATTGATCATTTTCTACCTTCTAGATTAAACGCAACACTCCTAGAGCCTTACAGACTATTTACTCTTTTACGAACTTCCTCTACTGCTTTTTTTAAAGTCTAAATTTCCTTTGGGTTGGAGACGAGTGACATTGGAATCTTTGTTACTCCTTTCTTTTTGGTTTCTTTACAATCTTTACCCTCAATCTAAAATGATCTACTGAAGTTTGAAGATGGGCTTTTTTGTGGCTTCTCTCACGTCTTGTGGAGTTCCTATTTGATCCAGAAGCCTGAAACCTCTTTTACACAATTTTGATACATTTGCTGTGATCGAGCTTCCCACTTCTATATCATTTTGCTACTTTCTGATTGTTTACTATACTTTGTTGTTCTTTAATAAAAATAATGACCAAAAAAAACAAAAACAAAAAAAGGTAAGATTTAGTTCCAAAATTTAGTTACACTTTTTCAGGCTAGGTTCACAGGTAGGTGATTGAGCCGGTAAGCGGTTTTCATGCGGTTTTTTTCATGTGATTTTGCTTTGAAAACTGCGCAATTATAGCTACTGCACCTTTTTGCTCGACAGGAGATTTCTACCGCATGACAAATCACAAAGGTGTGAACAGCTTCCATAAACTTGAATGCAAGTCTCTGATTTGTAAGATATTGCGTGGCTAAAACGGCGCGATAAATCGCCTGGGTTGCGAACCTAGCCTCAAGCTTCTCTGACAACACAACACTGGTTCGGCCCTTTAGAATAGCAATTTTCTGCTCAGCCCCATTAACATGGCAAATTAGGAGCAATAGCTAGTTCAAACTTTGAAATATATATGTATAGGCATATACACACACAAACATACATAAGCTTAGATATTCATGTCTGGGTCACTTCTATACATGTTACCGATTAATTTTCGTAGCAAAACAGTGCTAGGTTGGCCTTATCGGTAGACACCACACAGTTGAGGAAGTTACAGATCTCATTATTTACTTGAGGTTGTCCAAAGAGAGTCGTCATACATCTCTCCTCTCCAGGATATCCTGGTTCACTCGTTTGAGTCATATAATTTTTTCATCCCACCCAGGCATTCAAAAGACAAACAGTAACATGGAGTAATTAGTGGTCAAACAATGACCTGCCCAAACCAGAGTATGACAGGCGAGCAATCTGCTCATTCTAACTAACAATGGCATGCAGACTAACAAGCAGCATTATAGTTAGGTTTTCTGTGCTATACCAGAACTGGGTAAAGCTCAGGCAAGAAGCCAATAGACCAAAAATTACAAAAAGCGCAATTTTCTTTAGCCTTGGTTGCCAATGAAAATACAAGTTCTAAGAGCCCTTACACACGGGCTTTCCTATCAAGTCCGCCTGTCAGTTTTACAGGCGGCCCTGATCGGAAGACCAATGTTAGTCTATGGGCAACCAGATCTAAATGGACGGGTGCCCATTTACATGCGGTTACCCCTGGTTCCACACAGATGTAGCAAAATTGTCAAGGAAACATTGTACTTGTGCTAGTCTGCTACATTGGATGGGTCTGCTTTCAGAGCCATGTGTCTCTGTGCTTGTTTAATCAGATATAAGCGTTCCGAAGGAGAGTTTAATTTAACTCATCAAGCTTTCTATAGGTTTCAGAATAGCCCTCCTGCATTACAAACAAGAAACAAAAACAGGGTTCCCAGATCACTATTTGACAATACTGGCAATAAGGTCTGGGGTGGACTGGTGCACTGTAAATGTGACAGGTTAAAAAAAAACTAATTTCCTGAGAGGGGTGACTGTATGCATGTCAAGGCCTAACATTCAATTTTAGACAAATGAAAATAGTAAGCTAGCATAGCACACAAATAGGTGTTTTAAAAAGGGTGTATTTTTATGTCAATGGTAATATACATAGGAGGACCAAAAATTACATCAGGATTGGCTTCATGCCGCAACCATTTGTGTACATATACACCTTATGCATTTGCTTATTCCATTAGTTGGAAGTTGCCTTGAGAAAGGGATACCTATCCTGAAACTGTCACCTTTTCCACCTCCGTCTGTACCCAGAGCACTCCGTTCTCGATCAGTACACATTTGTAATGTTGTATTGTTTGTTTGCACATTGTGCCTTCTAGCTGCATCTTTAGATTGCATTATTTTCTTATCGCATCATTGCGTGTCTAGTTTAGCTTTGCACCAGGGATTGCACTTTGGTCAGTTGTGTCTATATGTATCTACGTATATTACACCATTGGACTTAAAAAAACAGCTATTGAAATGCCTATTTGGGTGGTATGGTGTGGTATGCCCATATGCTCAATTTTGACTGGAACGTACCATTAAAATGCTCATAGACAAATGTCTGTAAAAAGTATGGATTACTGTTAGGATTGAGCTAATTGATTTGTAAACTGTGGTAGATCAGGTGTACCTGGATTTGCACAGATAAGTAAATAGGATTATCAAAACCCAGATTCAAGTAATCCACATGATTCAGAGTCAGTTTTAGCAGTCATTAATGACTACACAGGATGACACAAACTGCTACAAATAGTACTCGGATGACCTCCTACATAACCATTTCCATAAGAGAATCTGACGTATCTAGGTTTGAGTTCTAAGCACAGTTCATAGAAGGATTAGTTTATAGGTCACATCTGAATTATGTGCTAATCTTCAAAAACGATTTCACAAATATAAATAAAAACTAAAACTTCTGTTTTTCAAGGTTGGGTGTGAGTAGACCTTATGAGTACATATTGAATCCACAGCAGTGTGGATATATGACTGTCTGCGCCCCAATGGGACTGGAACCCATTAGGAATAACTGGATTTAGATTATATGCAACAGGCAACATGCAATGCTCAGGGACATTCTGTGACATACCTTGAACATCATACCAGTGGGCTCCATTAGTGATTCCATCTGGGAAAACCTCACCCTCCTCATCTTTACACTGTGGGTGACCAGTCTTCATGATAGGGTGGTTTGAAGCGTAGGCTCTGGCCAGATGCTGGAACACTTTGTCATCTGTGGATCTGCTATAGTAGCCAGTTTCCTGATGAATGCTGGAATCGTCAAAGGGATAGCTAGCCACAACCGAGCCGCCATGCAGGTTCCCAGAGAGCACAAATCTGGGCAAAAAAAAGGGAAATAAAAAATATGCTTCTGTTAAAATAAATTTGTATTACAAGAATAATTTTGTGAAAAAAATGTGTTTGATGATGAACCTGGCAGCCATTTTACATTTTTTTAAATGAAGGTCAAAAAAGGCACACCACATTTTGTACCCTTTGTCTTTATTAGCCAATTTTGTCCACTTTTATCTTCATTAGCCAGAAAACCCTCCTCTGTGCACACCCCAAAACTAGTTTCTATTTGTTACTAATAGCTAAGCCCTACCCAGTCACTATATACTTGTGCAATGAGAGCACCATTATTGGTCCCTGAGGTACATCTATTGTACGGTATGAGGACAGGGCATGTGTCCATAGATATCAGAGGGCGGCCAGACTTGTAGCCATGATTTAGCACCCTTAAAGAACTATATGTTACCAGTGCTGCTTGTTTAAGGGGAAAATATTGGGGCCAGGGACAGGATTTCTCTTCTCCCCGACTGATGTTGTCTCTAAGGCCCCATTCACACCTATGCGTATTGTAATATGTGCGTCTGTCGCGCGACCGTCACGCGTTTTTTTACCACGATCCGCTGTAAAAAAGTCGCGCGACCGTCGCGCGATTCCAAAGGCTACTTGGCAGTATCCAAATGGAAAACGCCCTACAAAACGGACCAATACGCAGCAAAAACGCTCCGGGACCTTTGCATGCGTGGCCCGTTTTGTAGTGCGTTCGGGACGGGCGGAAATACGGACAGGTGGGAACGATACCATTGACTACAATGCTATTTATTTTTTTGACCGTTTTGTAGAGCGTTCATCGAGCGTAGGACGCGCTACAAAACGGTCAGGTGTGAATGGGGCCTAAGAGCTGACAGGCATCTGTCTGCCACTATGTACATGAGACTGGCATCCAATCCAGCCAGACTGGAGATGGTCATCTCATGTATCTGTGTAGCATTAGTCCCACAGTCAGGGAGGACAAGCCCTTAAACTGACCATTCCTGATAAACTGGAAGAAATTCCAGCCATGTGTAGCCCCTTTCAGCACCCCTCCACTCAACCAAAAATCAATTTTTCAACTGACTTTTGTTGAAGGAGCCAGTGCAGATGCATGCACAGCCTAGGTATGCAGCAGTCGCTAAAAAGTGATGAATCGTCCGCTGACAGTTATTGTATTGCAGCAAAATGCAATGCACCACGTTCCAGATCTGGTCCGGAAAATGGTGTGAACCTGCCCTTAGTGAAGAGTTAAAGCTGGCCAATCAGCACTTCTGTTTGAAAAAAGATCCTTCCCGTCAGAAGACATCATGTGAACAATGCCATGGCATTGTTCCTGTGACTGGCAGTCAGAAGAAAGATTATCAGTCATTATAGAATCAGGCAGGCTCCAGTAGTGTGATGGAAATATTTATTTACAATTTTTGGTAAATATTAAATTCTAACATGGGCTGAAGAAAGTAACGTTTTTTTTCATTGTGAGGTGAAACTGCATCAACAGGTTTTTCAGGCTTCCTTAATAAAACATGGCATTTGCTGAAGGCTATAATGACATTGACACCACATGCAGGAACGAGAAGGTATTGGTCCTCTAAAAACCACACAACTTTTCCATTTCTGCACTCCTGTGTAAGGCAGAAGACCTTTAAGTTCTGCTATACTCCATTTCACATAACAAGGCATGACACTTATTCAAAGTAGAAACATTTATTCTGAAATGTAAATTTTTTGTAATCCTAGATCATGAGGGACTTCAGCGGCTGAACTCCATATTTTTAAAGTGTATGTAAACCCAGGAGCAAAAATGTAATATAGTTCAGCTTATCAGTGTTAAAATGTGGTGGCTGCATTAGTTTTCTTTTATTAGGATTTTTGTCCTTTTATTTTACCTGGTGATCCTGACAGTATATCTGTTTTTTTCAACTTCCTTTAAAGGTGGTAGACAGAGGGTTAAGACAAACCATTTAACACTGACAGGGGTGCTTACAATGGTCAGATTTATTATTTTATGTAAAACCTCTATCCCAAAAGGAAAATCTGCTCAAAAGGTGTTAGCTGGAGTTTGGATTTCATGTGTTGGCAGGGCCGGCGCTACTATATAGGCAGGTCAAGCATCTGTCTGAGGGCGCCGCAGGGGGGGGGGAAAGATGCGACTGGAAGGTTGCTCCTTTAAGACGGTCGCGGCGGCGGCGATCACATCTCTCTGCGCTCCCTCTCTCTCTACTCCCGGTCGCTGCAGCTTCAGAGCGGCCAAGAGGAGAGACGAGAGGGAGCGCAGAGAGGTGTGATCAGCGCCGGTATGAATAGCCGGGCAGAGCAGCGGCAGGGATCCTTTTGATGAGGTGAGGTGAGACCCGTGCGCCGCCCCGCCCCACCCGACCCGGTGTTGTGCTGTTCTCGTCTGCAATCCCCCCTCCATCCCCCCGCCATCTACCTTTCTCTTCTTCCTCGGAGGAGACAGTGAGAGGAGGGCTGCACTCGCAGCCCTTCCTCTCAGCTGTCACAGGAGTTCTGGCACAGTGTTGTGCTAGAACTCCTGTATTGGAGGTGACAGGGTCAATTAAGAGAACCTGTCACCTCCATATGCTATCACACAAGGGATTGTTAGCTCCTGTGTGATAGCAATAAGGTTAATTTTTAAAAAATTTAAAAAACAAATTTGATAAAACATTAGAAAATAAATAAAAATTATGAAAAAAATAAGTAAAACATAATAATAAAAATGATAAAGAGTAAAATATAGTAAGATTAAAAAACAAGAAAAAAATAAAAGATAAATCAGAGAAATACATATTTAATAAAGTAAAGAAAACTTAAAATTAAAAAAATAAAGTGATAAAAGAAAAATTAAAAATTAGAGGTACACCAAAAATGCACCTTCGCCTGTGTAGGAAAAAATTCTGGCACCGGCCGTGTGTTGGTCAAGTCCATCTAACACTACCCTCCCCACAGGGTGACAATGCTGATGTCCAAGGGTGGCTTTGTTCATAGAGTAGAGACACCATAAGACAGAAAATGTGTCACTGGCCAGATCAATGTAGTAAAAAATTAGCATTCAAGCTAGCTTAACACCTGCACTACACCCGAAACGCGCGTCCCGGGATCGTGTGGTACTGCACAATGCCGGCAGCGATTGCCGCGTGATCCCATTGATTTAAAGGTAAAGGTACAAGCCGTGATTGTTTTCCGAAGCACGGGCGGAACCGCGGTGGGAAACCGCGCCATCCGGCCGGCGTCACAGTGGTGCCATTAGAAAATAATGCCGCACGGTGAAGTGTCGCCTAGGCGTGAACCTAACCTTAACGCTTGTAGTGCGTGGGTAGCCCCCCCCCCCTGCAAGAGTTAATAAAAGTTTTGCCCAAAGTTATTTTTTAAGGACTGGTAAGCAGGAATATATTAAAATTTCGTTGTTGGGTTTTAAGTTAAATCCATAACTGGGCAGAGAAGAAGAATTGCAGGCAGAGTTATAATAACTGTAGGTTGAAGACGTGTATAGCAAGCACATTCAAGCATTGCTCCTATAAGCATGTCTAGACTGCTTCAGCCAATGTCATAATTCAGAAGGCGATCATAAGGCACAGCAGCTTACTGCCCTCGGCAAAAATAATGATTATAATAATAGACACGTGCAGTAGTAAGCCAAAATGTGCTTCTGCACACCCTGGGGGCCCCTGAATCTAGGCCAGCACCATGTGTAAATAGCTTTGATGCATTCTCTTCATCTCACAATTCAGTCTGCCCATCACTGTGACACTGAATTGTGTGATCGAGTCACAGTAATAAATTGCAGATTAGAGGGCATACATTTCTGGAGGACATGCTTGACATGCGTATATGGCCTGTGATAGCACTGTCATTAGACGGCGCAGATCACAAGCACAACGCACAGCACTAAACAGAGTGCCTCTGTTGTGTGGGATCGCTGTAATAGCCAATCGCAGCAATCACAAATGTAAACACTGCAAGAGCCCTCCTCTTCCTCTCACAACAGAGGAAGGAGAGAAGGAATCAGATTTAATGAATGAAGGGAAGCAGCAGATTGAGAGGGGGGTTAATTAGATTGGGAACTTCTTTTTTTTTTTTAACCCTTTCACCCCTCTCCTATACATCTCATCCCTATCCTGTCTCTGTATGGGACCTGTATGTCAACACCTTCATCTACCTCATACTGCAAACTAAGCCCCCGATCTCCATTCTCTTATTGTATGGGACCTGCGCAATAACCCCTTCACCTCTTCCCTCTGTGTAAGACCTGTACATTAATGTGCTGGATCTTATGCACCATAACCAAGCTCTGTGTTTTAACCCCCTTACTAACCAGCATGTTTTTTCAATGCCCAAAAAAAAAAAGTGTCAAAAAATAAGATCACCTTGGGATGTCTACTTTCCAAAAAGGGGTAATCCTGGGGCATTTGTAGTGTCCTGGCGCGTTCATACTAATGGAAACACAAGTCGGGTGAACTTGCGTATGAACACGACGATTGTGCTACACGTCGGGTATACGTGTGAGTAATTATTCCCCAGCCAATATTCATGGCTAACTCTAAAGTGATGACTGGGCTTTTATATTTTAATACATATATCATTTTATATATAATTGTATTTGTAAAATTTTGGGGTGTTATTTTTAAAAAAGTTTTATTTTATTATATTGGCCTGGAGTTTTTAAATTCAGATTTAAATCCATGAAACTAATTAAAATGTCTAATATATTACAAACAGTTATTTTAAATAAATAAAAAAAGTGGGAGGTCATTTTTGGTTTTGGCCTGACAAATTCTGCTGCAGGATATGCATTGCAGTGCCATTCATTCCAGTGGCACCCCACACGCACCTCCTTCCCGCAGTGCGATTGTAAAAATTGTGCATGCAGTTTTATTCTGAAGTAAAACTTTAAGTTTGTAACACAGCATTTGTGTATTTTATTTTAAATAAAAAGGTGGTATGTTTTGTTAGCCGATTAATCGAGAGAAAAAATTATCGTCCAACTAATCGATTATGAAAATGATCGTTAGTTG